ATTACATACATACATATATACAATAAATATACCACAGGTAGTACGTGATGTGAAAGGAGGCCCTGGAGAGCCACTGCCAGTCAGAGAGACAATCTTGACCTTGAGATGGACTGGTTGACTGACTCAGCAAAAGGCAGCTTTGTGAGTGCCGTGTAGCTAAGTACATGTTTCTGTGCACGTTCTGAAATGGAGCAGTGCTATCCTAAGCAGAGTTTTCAATGGACAGAAGAATGTAAGGTTTCTAGACTTTTTTAGCAGGATGTGCTAGCCCTTGTTCAGAGTTTTCAATGGACAGAAGAATGTAACTTTGCGCTGGATGGCACGGTAAGGTTTCTAGACTTTTTTAGCGGGATGTGCTGACCCTTGTTTGGCATCTCTTGGAGGTGGGGGAGGGAACGGAAATCAGTAGTAGGATAGTTTGCATTTCAAAGGCCTGTAATTCAGTCATTGCCATCTTCAAATAAAAAGATTGTGTATTATCGGGGGTGTGTGTGTCCAAAGGCTTAGATAGCTCCTGCTGGCAAGAGCTGATTGCACAGGCTCGGTTGCAGCTTCAGATGTTCATTTTTATTAGTTAGCTTATTTATGATGCTTGCAAGGCCATTTGTCCATTCCTGCCTGTAGCTGCTAGGATATAACACATAAAGGTGTCTGGATCTAGGATCAGGGTTGGTGGAGGAGTGGCCAGTTCTCTTGCATTCGGTAATCAAGGTGTCAGCGTTCCTGCATATGTGATTCTTTTATCTGCAAGGGTGTTCTGCGACTGGCTGAACATAGGAGGCTGCCCGTGCAAGAGGATGACCCTTGGCTATTAGTGTGATGATGACGAAAGCCAGGGTGACGTCGCAGTTAGAGTGTTGGACTGGAAGGCCTGGGTTCAAATCCCATTCAAGCCATGAAGCATATTGAGTGACCTTGGACTAGACACTGTCTCTCAGCCCACCTAACTGCAAAGGGTTGTTAAAATAACAGAGCAGCCATGTATACTGCCTTGAGTTCTTTGGAGGAAGAAGAGAGATCAGTTATTATTTTTGTGTCCCTGTTTTCCTCCAAGGAGCTCGGGGGCACCGTACCTGGAAGTTAAGCCCCATTTTAGGGCCCGGCACAGTTGAGGGGTCTACTTAAGAGTTAGTGCCTACATCTTGAGCTTTAGCGTCACGTAAGTGTTAGCACCACTGATCTTATCAGAGGCATCATATCAGTTCCATGTGTTGTGGTTCCCAGAATCTCCCATGATGGTACAAAGGCCATTTTTATGTGTCCAGTACCACCCCCATTCCCGATACAAAAAGCTATGTGCAACTAAGAGATCTGGATTGTGGTGCATTTCCTTCCTCCCCTCCTCAGTAAGGCCTGCGGTTTGTTTTTCCCCATGAGAGTTTCCTGTGTCTTTAACAGTTGTGTGACAAACAGAAATTTAGCAAACCGTGGCTTGGATCTGTCAGAAGTTTCCCTCATGCGCTAGGATCCATGCGTGAGCGGAAGTATAAAATAAACCTCACTCTGGTTCCACTTGTGGGAGTTATAGCATGAGCAATTTCTGGGCATTGTAAGACGTAGGAATGAAACTGACAGGTGTTACTGGACTGTGCACAAGCAGAACTGCAGTTATCCTGTTTGTTTCTCCTTGCGCATTGCTGGATCCGTGTTTTCCCCAGCACTGCCAGTGTAATGACAGGAAACGCTTTACTTGCTGAATGTCTCCGTGTGGATCCCTGCTGAAGAAAAAGTTGGCAACTCTTAATAAGAACAGCAATTATGTGAAATCTAGCAATGTTCCGCTGCTGGATGATTCTCCGTCTTGCAGCAAGCCCCAAGGGGGAACATGTTGTGTCCCAGGGCCTTTTTATTTTTCTGATGCTAGCAAGACTCTCTCAGCATCCATTTAGGGACATTTTAGAGATGGCAGAACTTGGTCCAGCTCTTATTGAGATCAATCTATTGATTTTCACAGACAGCTAAATCAGACTATTAATGGCAAAAGAGATGGAGGGAGGGAAAAGATACAAAAGAAAACACCGGAGGGTCTAAATATGCAGAACTGTAGTTTTGCTGGATTTCTTACGGTGCCCAAAACAAATAAGAATTCTTCCCGTGCATTTTTGTAGGCTGTTATATAGATTCCAACCCAAATCTAGATCAGTGTTTCCGAAATGTTTGATGCCTGCATTGTACTTTTCCTGAACTCGGACTTGACACACATCTTTCTTACATTTATTTACTTAGGTATTTATATCCCACTGTTCTCTCTGGTGCAGACCCAACACAGTTTATAGCATTTAATCTCCCCACCTCTGGTTTATCCTCACAACAGTCTTGCGAGGTAGGTTAGGCTGAGAAAGAGTGACTGGCCACTGGTTGCCCAGAGAGCTTCTATGGCAAAGTGGAGGTCTGAATCTGGTCTGGGTCTCCCAGTCCAACACTCCAACCATGACACCACATTGGCTCTCAATACAGGAATTTCTGTTTATCACACTATTATGCCGCCCTTCCTCCAAGGAGCTCTGGGTATCATACCAGCCCCTCCCGCACTTTTCTCCTCACGACAGTTCTGTGAGGTAGGTTTGGTTGTGAGGTAGTAACTGACCTGCGATTACTCTGTGAGCTTCATGAGTAAGTGGGGATTTGAACTGGAGTCTTCCTGTTACTATTACAGTCTCTTCATCTGCTTCAAAGGCACTGGTAAGTACCAGTTTCTCCACCAGCCCTGTAGCTGTGCCTGTAACGCTAGCCTGCTGTGTAGAAATCAGCGGGTGATAATGGGTGGATATAACCAGCTTGTCACGGGAAATGCTGCATTCAGGGTAACCGTGACTGGTTCAGTGATATCCTGTGGTTGCTGTTGCCTCACTCCTAGGTATCGACTCACAGGCCTGATGTAAAAGTGATGCTAGTGGGCTGAAACGGCTTTCCCAATGCAATTTTGTGTGGGCTCGTTGCCTCATTTAAGCTGGGCTGCCATCCATGCAGTGCGGCTATGCGTGCTCAATTAGTATGCCAGGTCAGCACCCGCCCAGTCTTCGGTGTGCTTATTAAGCGAGTGTTGCGTCTCTCTGCATGGATAACAGCCCAATTTAATTGAGAAATTGTGCGAGTTCACGCTTGCACAAGATGAGTTTCTTTGCCTTGCCAGAACGAGGGTGAAATCAGCACTCGTCCTGTCGCCGTGAAGATGCTGGAAGAGCCTCTCCCTGCTCACATCACTGCATTATTCTGTCACTACTTCCTTGTTTCTTGCTAGGTGCCGCTTCCGTGGCAAACGGGATTTCTCCCCCTCACCACAGTGTGCGCATGTGCCGGCGGGCGTTGGTGCGCATCCTGTGGAGACTTAAAAAACCCCAAAAACATCCGGTTTGCGACGGGACATGGGCGGGCACCAGATGCCACGGGATTCCAGTGGAAACGCGATCAGACGCCCACCCTTGCCGCGCGTTTTCCAGAAACTAGCAGATCAGATGTACTAGTTTTTTTACTCCGTATCTTCAACAAGAAGCCACGGGTTAGCCACGGGTGCACTACGCTTCCCAGATGTTTGCGGTGTGATCGCGTCCGGAAAATCAACCTTTCATCCGTATCTTTAGCGTGGCAAATGCTCCGTGTGAACGGGGCCACATTTCGAAACCAGGGACAGGAAGTGAAGGGGGTCAGGTAGCCAGGTCTGGGTTGGGGAATACCTTGAGAGATTTTGGGAGTAGAACCTGGGAAGGGGAGGGACCCCAGCAGGATACAATGTGTTGGATATTTAGCAGAGTGCATAAAGCGCAGCAGAAATAAAGCAGCCACAGACATGTGTGTTTAGCTTCTAAGAAAAGTCTACTAGAAAAATAGGGAAGGGTTCCATGGAAAGCAAAACAGTAGTAACAGTCTAACAAAATCTTTCTAGTTCTAACTCCATCTTGTTTCTTTTCTGTGACTAATGAGCTGTGCTTCTTTCTGTCTGAGTTTGAGAACAAAGGAGAGGAAGTTCCCCCCAAAGGCTCCACCCCCTGTGTATGTGCTGAACAGCATGTGCCATCTTCCAATATATTGATTAGCCAATAGTCAATCTTAAGGTCACCTCATTAAGAACAATACCTCCCCCCCCTTGACGGGAAGATTCTACTCTACATCTAATTGGCTCTAAGCTAACTAGCTAACATCAGCATACAGAAACAGCAGCTTAACTCTTTCATGACTGATGAGATGACACAAAAAACCCAACACCATGCCATGGAGTCCCCCCTCCGTAGCAGCCGTTTTCTCCAGGGGAACTGGTCTCTGTTGTCTAGAGTTCGGTTGTAATGGTAGGAGATCTGTAGGCCCCACCTGGAGATTGGCAACCTAGAAGGGGAGAATAAAAATAGATAACTTCTGCAATAATATAGTGACCAGTGGAGATGGCCATTTCAGGGTACTGTTCTGAATGAGGGGGAGTCACTTGGCACCGGTCCCAGTCATTATATACCATGAAAAATGCCAGTTGGAAATCTTCGTATTTAATTTTACCATTTTAAAAAAAGAAAAGGTCTCATTTTACTTTCTAACAGTCTTCTTTTGTTGATTGATATTTTCCGCGCAGGGAGCAACGTGGTGATTGGAGATGTCTTAGTCCTTCTCGGCGCCTCGTTGTATGCCATTTCGAATGTGAGTGAGGAATACATTGTGAAAAATCTGAGCAGAGTGGAGTTTCTAGGAATGGTGGGCTTGTTTGGGACTATTATCAGCGCCCTGCAGCTGTAAGGATCAGTTATATGTACTTTAATTCTAACTAAGAAAACCATCCCTATCACAGAATGCTTTCTTCCCTTTCCTGAATTGGTGGGCGTGTTGTTAATCTATTGTTAGCCTTGCAGCCAGCCTATTGGGGAGCACAGGTACCCTCAATAGGATTGCCAGGCCTCTACCTGGGGATTGCCTTTGAATTCAGACTTCAATTGGGAGATGTGGCAGCCCTGGTTTCTTCTCATTTCCTTCCTGGCTGTTCTGTCCATGTCCTCCACTTCCTGTAGCAAGGAGGACATTAAATTACAGGGGGAATTCCTTGCAATACGGCAGCCTTGAGCATTTGTATTTTTATTTAATTGCCTGACCTGGCCCAGTACCTTCTTTTCATAGCCCAGAGGTGCTCATTTTGTGGCTCACGGAGAGCCACATTTGCAATTGCCATCAGCCAAAAGAGCCACATTTACTTCCATCCCTGGGATGAGGCTTGCCCCTCAGGGAGCCTCACAGCTTACCTGTCCTTCTGCCGATGGCCCTTTTAAGGTGGGAGCCACCTGTCAAACACAAGCACCTGCAGGCGAGGACCCTGCCCACTTTCCTGAAACATGGCGTAGGTGCCATATTGGGGAACAGCACTCAGAAGAGCCACAGGTGGCATGCAAAAAGCCACATGTCGCTCCAGAACAACATATTTTTCTTTTTCTTTTTGTAGCTAAGATGCTGACCATGCTGCCCAGTGGAATTCTAAGTCCTGTAAATGGTTACTCATGCAGATAATAGCCTAGGCCTTCATAGAAGGAACCCCAGGGTCAAAGATTATTTGTGGGATTAATCATTTACATCTTGGGGCCTTTCTTTTCTAGTTAATGGTGCCACCTTTTGATGGGGGTGGGTGGGTACTGTGTCTTGAACAGATGGGCAGATACCCACCAGCATGATGGGAAGAAACCCAACAAAGAGATGCTCTTTCTTCATAATGGGGACAGTTTCTTCTACTGACTTCTGCCCCATTATTTGGCTGCTAAAGCCACAGAAACCTTATCCTAGAAAAAATGGGCTCCCTGTTTTTGAAAGGCAGTTTCCCAGTGACATTTAAGCTATGGAGTTAATCCCAGAATTTAGTACTCTTTCTTGGGGTACTATGCCAAAATAAAGATTAAATGAGATTTAGAAGGAGAACGGGTTTGTTAATGGTGACTTAAGGATTATTTAAAGCTTTAGGCTGCAATCAAACAAACAAGCGTTAAAGCGCCTCCAGTTGATAAGTTAACAGGTTTAACGGAAAAGTGAACTTAGAATTGCAGCCTTCATTTTTTTCTTTTATAACTACACTTTTATTTCCAGATGCATTCATGAAGATGTAGTCAATTAAAACTTATATGATCGTCTTAAGATTCCTTTCAGGTGACAGGCCTACTTACAACTAAGAATAACTGTGTATCAGTGTGTTCAGCGTATATTAACTGTATTTTCGAAGGAAGTGGTATTGACTCTCCCTTTGGAGCGATTCATTTGATTCACAACGCAGGCCTCTGCATAAGATTACAGTTGCATCCCATAGAAGTAACAGAGGCTGGGGTCACACACACACGAAATGATCCACTTTCAGTGCACTTCCAACTGGATTTTGCCAGTTAACACAGTAAAATCCAGTTGTAAAGTGGATTGAAAGTGGATTATTTAGTGTGTGTGTGTGACAGCAGCCGGACTGTCTACATGCAAGCAGGGTTTGATTAAACCAGAGTCAGTAAACCAAGGTCTCTCCAGTCATTCTGAACGTGGAAAGCCAACATGGTTTAGTGACTAGACTAGGACTGGAGCAGCCCAGGTCTGAATCCGCACAGAGCGTTTTCCCACATATGTTATTTAGTCAGTTGTGTATCCCTATTGTGTCTTTTTTTCCTTTTTCACAAATGTTTTGCGCCCTCTTGTGGCTGTTTCGATCTTTCCTAGCTGTTTCTCTGGTGGGTTTTATGAGCACTCTTAAAAAGGACTTGGAGAAAACCTGGGGGAAAATCATTGGAAAATCAGCAACATCTACAGGGTGCAAAACATGTGCAGAACCTGACACCCCCACCCCCCCAGTATGGGCACACAACTGATGGAAATAACGCATGTGCTAGAGCCCTCAGCTGTGAAACTTATCAAGTAATCTTGGGCCAGTCAGTTTCTCTCAGCCTGACCTTCTTTCTGGGGCTGTTTTATTTATTTATTTATTCAACTTATACCCCGCCCTCCCCTCCGAAGCAGGCTCAGGGTGGCTTACATAAAAGATAAAAACATGGTATGGATGGGAAGAGAGTCATACATGCTGCTGTGAGCACCTCAGAGGAGGGCAGGATGAAAGAAAATGTGATAAGATAGAATGCAGCCACAGCTTGTGTAACAGCCCCAGGGCTACCTTTTCAGTCCTCTTAATATGAAAGTCTGCCTCTGTAGCCCTGAGAGTCCCCACTTCCGTTTGGCCAGCTCTTACCGACCCTCTCCTGGGTTTCCGTTCTCCTCCAAGTCTGCTTTCTTTATCCACCCACACTTCTCACATTTTCCTCCTGAGAAACTTTCTTGTCTGGGACACAGTTAAGAGACGAGCAAAAGACGAAGGGGGAAAAAATACCATCTCCTCCAATACTATCTAGCCCATTAGTTAAGATCTGCCTCTCAAGCCCTGCCCTCTCTGCCTCCACCTTCAGAGGTGATGCAGGTGGTGACTAGAGACAGGGCGCTTTCTGGGTTTTTTATTATTTACACAAACAAAACAAATGCCAACAACAAAACATAACAAAACCAAACCGTCTGATAACCTCATGTCCAATATAAGAGGTGATACCATCATGTTATGGTGATGTTCCAACCAAAAAAACAAAACAGAAAAAATATAAACCAATACAAGAAAAATCATGACTAGATAAAAAGGAAGAAGGGAGAAAAGGGGAGTGTGTGTGGAGGGGTGCTTCCATCCAAATTGGCTGAGATTTTACATAATTTTCATTGTTTCCGTTTGTGAGAAATAGTATCCTCTAAATATAACTATTCAGTGCCTTATTCAAATTTTCAGGTAAGGGTCTCCATCCATTAAAGAAAATTCTTTAATGAGCTATAGTCTGGAAATTCCATTAAATAAATTATGAAACTATTCCAAATTATCTTAAAATCGTCTTTCTTTTTAATCTAATCTGATTTGTTAATTTTTCAAGTGCTACTATATTCCTTAATTTATCACGCCACCTAACCAAGGAAATCTCTTTAGCATTCTTCAGCACTGAGCAATAAACATCCTAGCTGCTAATAAAAGAAAGTTGATAAGTGTTTTTTGTTTACATTGGGAGTTTTGATTGATAGTTGAGCAGAGCAAGTTCAGTAGTAGGTTTTATTTGTTCCTGGGTTATTTTAGCAATCTCTGCAAATATTGATTTCCAAACATTTGCTTTAACTGGACAAGACCACCATATGTGAATAAATGTCCCTAGTTCACCGCAACCTCTCCCAACAGTTTTTACTGTTTATTTTCATTAAGTGTGCTAATCTAACTGGAGTGAAATACAACCTTTGAGACACCTTTAATTCACGCTCTTGTAAACTTCTTGAGATTGATTTGAAAATGTTGAAATATCTGTTCCCAAGTCCTTATCATTAAATTTAGTATTCAGTTCTGTTTCCCAGTTCTTAATGGTCTGCACCGGAGTTTTTCCTTGATTTAATAATATCCTATATATTTTAGTAATTAATTTCCCCTCCTCGTTATCTATATTTCGAATTTATTCTTCAAATTCAGTGAATGGTCTGTTTATTTCATCTTTGGTTTCCTTCTTTTGGAGAAAACTTAAAATGTCCCTTCAGGAACCCTTCCTTCAATCCAGAGTTCACTGGTATTATTTAAGAGCATAATATTTGCATCCATTAATGTTACTTGATTAAGAAAAGTATCTCTGGACTTGGGACCATAATTTTTTGCTGGAACAAATTTTGAATGGTACAAAATGGCGGTCAGTGGAGAAATTAACGGTGAACTCGCTTTCAACCTCCATGGCCCTGTTTTGGTCTGGAGGAAATGGAAAAGGATATTATACCCACTTTTGGAATGCCTCCCCTCTCAAGGCTCGCTTGGTGTCTACTTTACTTTCTTTTAGGCGCCAGACCAAAGCACAACTTTTTACCCAGGCTTTTTTTAAACTCAGGTGTTTTATCTTAGCAGCTTTTTAAATGGCCTGCTTTTGTGTTATGGATAGTTTTTATGCTCTTTATGTCCAGTGCCTTGTTTTAATACAGTTACACTGTATTAGCCAGTTTGGTATAGTGGTTAAGTGTGTGCACTCTAATCTGGGAGAACCGGGTTTGATTCCCCACTCCTCCACTTGCAGCTGCTAGATGACCTTGGGCGAGCCATAGTTCTGACAAGAGCTGTTCTTGAAAGGGCAGTTCTTGAAAGAGCTCTCTCAGCCCAACCTACCTCACAGGGTGTCTGTTGTGGGGAAGGGAAGGGAGAGGAGTTTGTAAGCCGCTCTGAGACTCCAAGACCGATTTCACACAAGAGCTGCACCGCAGTCGCGCCTTCCTTTGCCCCGCTTCTATTGGTCAATTTCCCACTCGAAGCCGTGTGGCTGCGTTTTGACCTGCGGCTTTGCCTGATTTTCCCCGTGGTTTTGTGATCCTGTTTTTTGAGGATCACAAAATCATGGGGGAAATTGGGCAAAGCCGTGGGTCAAAACGCGGCCACGCGGCTTCGAGTGGGAAATTGACCAATAGAAGCGGGGCAAAGGGAGGCGTGACCGCGGCGCACCTCTTGTGTGAAATCGGTCCAAGTGAAGGGCAGGGTATAAATCCAATCTCTTCTTCTTCTTCTTAATTGTAAGTCCCTTTGAGTCGTACTTCAAAGAGACAATATATAAATATCCTAAAACAAGAAGCATTACATGGGAAGGTGTAATCCTCCCACACTAGGCAGCCTGCCAGCTGACTGCTACTGAAAACAGCCGGCCAAGGGAAACTTTGGCCTGAGATGAAGCTTATTGATCAAGGATCTAGGAAGGGATCATTATTTTTTGCAGGCTGTGTCTTGACTATATTCCTCTCTTGCTTCTCTGAATCTGTACAGTCTGAGGAGCACCTGAGGTCACAGCTGGACAGTATGGTGTCCCTGGGTCCAACCTGGGATGCCACGGCTGTTTTAGAGCCAAACAGGGGCCTTTTAAAAAAATCCATGAGGGCCTGCAGCATGGAGGGACACCCCCCTCCGGTACCTTTTCAGGTACTGAAACAGCCACAGGGCGTGGGGCATAATGCTGCACCCCCCAGAGACCAAAACGTGAACTAACCTCACAGTTTTTAAGTTTGGGCTCTAAGATGTCACTTTGGATGTTGTTTCCTTTCCTCCTCTCCCCTGGGCTCAGGCAAACTGTTGACAACGTGGTTGAAAGGGCATAAATCTTATGAAGCACTGCAGCCTCTTGGATATTTAGACAGAAGGTAAATGTGTAAGTTCCCAGAGAAGGCATGAGCCAGCAGTCCACCTCCCTCTGTCACCTGCTGGGGCAAAGAAGTCTCTGGGTTTGCCACACACCGGTAGTGGTGGGGGAGGTGGATTTCTGGACCGATGAGAGAACAGATGGGAGGAGCTATGATTCCTCTCCCGCAGCATTGGGAGACTTGCAGTGCAAACCTGTACTTATCTACTCAGAACTAGATCCCACTGTTTTAATGGTGCTTGTTCCCTGGTAAATGGGTGCATAGGTGTGCACTGAAAGGTCCATGCCCAGCACCTGAGATGAGAGCTGGGAGCCATACTTCTATTCCTCCTGTAAGCCCTTTGATGGTACAATCATCCAGTTAGGAACTTGAAGAGATAACCCAATCTCCAATAATCAAGGCCTTGTTTATATAGGTAGAAAGATGCATTGTTTTAGTGGATGCTGGATCGGGTTAATCATCTGCTATTACGAATGTTAATAATTGAATATTACACTATGAAAACCACATTGCAGAATATTAATATTGGTGTTATTCTTTTTGTTCTTCTTTCCTTTCTTCTTGCCCTCTCTTTAGAGGCATTGTGGAACATAAAGACATAGCTAATATTCAGTGGAACTGGAAAATCGGTATGTGTTACACCAAAATGCTTGTGCTAACTGCTTTGCACTCAGCTCTGGGGTGGTCCTTTTGTATTCTGTGTTAGTTAAGTTTTATTACCTGGCCGTAAAAAGTGGATGGGAGTAGAGCGTGTGGAGGCTGACTTTGGCAGAGCTGACCACCCATTTACCAGGCGGGGGGCTCTGAATCCACATATACTTCCCCCACTTCCAACTCCCTTGATCAGTGCTACCAAACCTTAGGTCACATCCACTAACTTGTTTCCATTGAATTTTCTTCCAATGAAGAAAAATTTCCATCTATGGAGAATGTCTTTTGCCGATGGAGAAAGATTTTTTTTTTCCTGGGAACTGGAAAATCGGTATGTGTTACACCAAAATGCTTGTGCTAACTGCTTTGCACTCAGCTCTGGGGTGGTCCTTTTGTATTCTGTGTTAGTTAAGTTTATTACCTGGCCGTAAAAAATGGATGGGAGTAGAGGGTGTGGAGGTTGACTTTGGCAGAGCTGACCACCCGTTTACCAGGCGGGGCTCTGAATCCACATATACTTCCCCCACTCCCAACTCTCTTGATCAGTGCTGCCAAACCTTAGAAATTTCCATCTATGGAGAATGACTTTTGCCAATGGAGAAAGTTTTTTTTACTGCTGAAGGGTAGCATTGGCTGCAATTTGATGGAAAGGAATTAACTGGATTCAGCCCTTTTAGATGTGCGACGGATTGCACAGAAAAACTTGTGTGATTGGCTGCTCTTCACTCCAGGGCAGATTAACTCCTGACCTCCCCAGTCTCTCTGAAACAGCAGCATTTTAAAAACTGCTTTTCTGTGCAATTCATCACAACACGTTAGATAATTTTGCCTGTTGGATTAAAACCAGTGCAACTTTGATGTACGTGGCTTACTCTAGGCGGCACTCAGTTTATTTGAATTTTATTTAACCTGACCTATATCTGACCTGGATGGCCCAGGCTAGCCCGATCTCATCAGTTCGCAGAAGCTAAGTAGGGCTGGCCCTGGTTAGAACTAGGATGGGAGACCACCAAGGAAGCCCAGGGTTGCTACGCAGAGGAAGGCAATGGCAAGCCACCTCTGAAGTCTCTTGCCTGGATAAGTCAGTTGCAACTTGATAGCAAAAAAAGAAAAGAATAAATTTTGTCCTGACATGGATGGCCCAGGCTGGCTCAGTCTTATCAGATCTTGGAAGCTAAGCAGGGTCAGCAGCACCAGTGTTCACACTTGGATGGGAGACCACTAAGGAAGTCCAGGGTGGCTACGCAGAGACAGGCAATGGCAAGCCACCTCATCATTGAGAATCCTGTAGGGTTGCCATAAGTCAGTTGAGATTTGATGGCATTTTACTCACACATTTAAGAACATAATAAGAACATAAGAGACGCCAATGTTGGATCAGGCCAAAGGCCCATCCAGTCCAGCACTCTGTGTCACACAGTGGCCAAAAGTACCAGGAGGTCCACCAGTGGGGCCAGGACATTAGAAGCCCTCCCACTGTTGGACCCCCCCCCATTTATTTATTTATTTATTTACCCCGCCTTTAAGCATTTAAAACGTATTTCTAAAATAACATTGGAACCCCAGTGAAAAAACTGAAAGCAAAAGGGGCATTAAAATCCCAGCTTCCTGCCCATTTAACTGTGGCACTCCAAAGATAGCCCAGGGAGAAGGGTCTCTTTGGTGCCTCTGGAAGATGTTCAAGCAGATCACCTTAGTCTTTAGTAAAAGGGGCAGCAGGTCAGTCTCTGGAAGTAGTGTGGGGGGTTTCCTTTGGCACCCTTCGCCCATGAGTTTAAAGGCCCCCCCAAGAACACTTGTCCTTCCCATTTGCCCCTTTTCTTATTACTGGTTCCATGTCTTTTGATGTCAGGATGCTGTCTTGCCTTGCAGTCTTGCTCTTTCTGGCTTTTGCCCTCTGCATGTTCGGGCTGTACAGCTTCATGCCAATAGTGATCAGAGTTACCAGCGCCACATCTGTCAACTTGGGCATTCTGACAGCTGACCTCTACAGCCTTTTCTTTGGACTCTTCTTGTTTGGCTACAAGGTGAGCATCTTCTGTTTGCAGCAATGGGTGAACATCTTAAGCAGGTTTTGTATCATCTGTGCTCAATTAATGAAAATTCTGCAGCTTCGCAATCCGAAATCTGTGCTGAGAAAAGCATAATTCTGCTCAGTTTATGAAGCATCTTTTATGCTTTTATCGGTACTCTTTCGCATAATTTATTGCAGTTTTTGCCTGAGCATGTTAAGAATTTGTTTCATTGAAGTGGGAAGAAGGTTGAGTGTTAAGTTCAGAGATGAGTATTGTTGACGCGTAAACTAATGTTATTCAGACAGCACACTGAGATAAAGCGGTCATGTGAAACGGGAATATTATGCACATTCCGTTGTGTGTGTGCGTACATCTTGATTACCTGTTGAAGAAATACTACTCACTGCAAAATAGCAGTTTAAATATATATTTTCGTAATACTACATCACGACTGTTTTCTTCATTCTCTGCATCCTTCCCGTGATCTCTCTGTTGTTTCTACATGGCCTACATATCAACAGATCTTTGCAGGCATAAGGGCTAGAAGCTTAGTTTTCGAAAAACTGTAACCTAAGATTCATAAATATATATTTTCGTAATACTACATCGCGACTGTTTTCTTCATTGTCTGCATCCTTCCCGTGATCTCTCTGTTGTTTCTACATCTTTGCAGGCATAAGGGTTGGAAGCTTGGTTTTTTAAAAAACTGTAACCTAAGATTCGCAAGATGCTGAATTTTATTCTCACGGCCCCATGTCATGCTTTTTCTGCCCTGCTACAATACTGTGGTGTACATCTATACAGCCACAATTTTAACTGCACCTAAGTTGTGAACTTAGGCAGATCATGAGAGGGAGGGCAGGAAGGGCTGCATCAGTGCTTAGTTCTTATGGCCTTTCTTACACGCCCAGGGAAATGCTGAGCGACACTTTGGGGTCAGGAAGCAATTTTTCTCTAGGCCAGTTTGGCCCCCAGTGATCCTGGAGGTTTTTTGTCATCTTCGGGGCATGGAACAGGGCTCACTGGGCGTGTGTGTGTGTGGGTATTTGTGAATTTCCTACATTGTGCAGGGCTTTGGACTAGATGATCCTGGAGGTTCCTTCCAACTCTATGATTCTAATGGTTTTATTAGCAACGTACAAAGGCCATCACCTGATTATCTCTGATGGGAAAGCAGCTAACTCTGCTGGGTCTGATGGCTAAGCAGCTAATTGCTCCTTTTCAGGCCAAGAGCAGTTAAAATGTCTGTTTCATTTCCACTGCATGGAGGGAGCTCTTCAATGGGGTTGCAAAGCCTTCCTGGGGGTTGGGGTATCTGCTGGAACTTCAGGACACTAATCAGTGGCGGAACATCCAGGACTATCTCAGCTAGCAGATATCGGGCCATAATACTGAGAGACTCCGGAGGATTTGGGCATAGTGACTGTGCAGTCTCTGGAGGATTTGGACATACTGTGCAGTCTTCCATCACCCATCTGAGAGTCAGGCTGTGTCTTTTGCCTGCCGGGGGATACTGACAAACAAGGCTGGTATATCTTGTGTCCCCCCCTCCCCAAGTCAAATGCAGCCCACTATCCAGGGCTCTGGCCAGGATGTGGTGTACAGCCTCACCTGGGTTCACTGTTTTGCCCCACCTAAAACTTTTTCCAAACAACTCCCATCATTTATGTCAGGGCAGTTCCCCTTTTTAGGGAATGTAGGGGTGTTTGTTGTTGTTGTTGTTCTGAAGTATGGGGGGGAATTATCCTTTAGCAGGGGATTCATGGCAGCATACATAATTCTTCCCTCCATGTTATCCTCACAACAACAAACCTGTGAGGTAGGATAGGCAGAGAGAACACTAGCCAAAGATTACCCATCAATCTGCTATGGCAGAGTGGGGATCTGAACCTGGGTCTGTGGTAGAAGAGCAAGATTCGAGTCCAGTAGCACCTTAGAGACCAACAAGTTTTCCAGGGAGTAAGCTGTTGAGAGCCAAGCTCTAATGAGCCAGTTTGGTGTAGTGGTTAAAGAGCGGCAGGACTCTAATCTGAAGAACTGAGTTTGATTCTCCATTTTTCCACATGCAGCCACCTGGGCAACCTTGGGTCAGTCACAGTTCTCTCGGAGCTGTTCTCTCACGAGCAGTTTCTGTCAAGAGCTCTCTCAGCCCCACCTACCTCACAGGGTGTTTGTTGTCGGGAGGGGAAGGGAAGGCGATTGGAAGCTGCTCTGAGACGCTGAGTGAAGGGCGGGGTATAAATCCAATTCTTCCTCCTCCTCCTCCCTCTTCTTCCTTTTCCTCCTCCTTTTATCTGGATGGCCCTTCAAGTGTTACTGGACTTGAATCTTACTGATAATTGCTTTCCACATCATATTATCTGTCTTACATCACCATCTTCATGCAGGTCCTTATGTTTGTATGAAAAGAGGTATTATTTACCTACAATGTATGTAAATACACCACACACCCACATAATGTGCATCTTGTGTAGGACCTTGAAGCTAAATTTCCCCTCTGGTGGTCTCTTGAAGGCCTGTAGTCCTGCTACAGGACCTTACCGTAGTACATGTTCAAATGTCACCTTCAGTGGTGGGAAACCCATTTTCCACATTGCGTTTGCATAACTGACTTGCTGGAACGGCCTTAAGGACATGCAGAGAGCATTCTTGCCTTAAGAAGCTTAGCTTCATTACTCCAAAACATCATTTTTCCCAGCAGAACTGCAGTTGATAAGCCTGCATGCCAGATCTGGTTCCAGATCCAAAAGACTTGATTTGTTTTTTTTCCTTTGGCTCTGGTGCAAATGGATAGAAGCCTCTCACCGTGTTTCTGTTTGGATTTGTTCCTTTCAAGAGGCTGGTTTTGATGTCATATGTTTTGAACCTGATACAAAATAGGGATGGTGGAAAGGAGGGGAATGTCACTCAGTGCTACAGCTTTGCATTCACAAGCTCCCCGGGATCAGTCTCGAGCACCTTTACTTAACAAATCTCCATCGGCAGGACTGAAAGGACAGCTGCTTGTCGAAACAGACAAGGCCCGACCAATGCTCTGCCATAGTTTGTCTGATATATGTGATTGTATGTAATTTTTACTGCACCAGTTTCTATTAGTATGAGTATGAAAGCCTCTTCGTTTCTCAGGATTGCCTACTTTGTTTCTGTCTGAGGAAGAAGAGTCGTGTGTAACATAAAAGCTTATATGCTCTTAAATCTGCACAATTTTCCCCGGTCATCCTGACTTTGTCTTACTGTGCCATCCTATGCAGAGTTACCTCCAATCTAAGCTCCGTGGGTTTAACTCTCCATAGGATTGCACTGCTACTTTCTGAGAGCATCCGAACAGCTACCGGCTTACTCTGAAGATCACATTTCGGCTTTACCTGTGCCCAGGGGGGACAGCTTATGTGTACTGGTTGTGGCATTCGTACCCTGGGTAGGGGAAACCGTAGGACAGATTAGGTTTCCTTTCCCCCTTCTCCAGTCTTCACACCCCCTGGGACCTTATTAATTTGATCCACTGTGCTTTTGATCACTGGCAGATCAGCCAGCCAAGGGACCTTGTCAGCCAGGCGTTAGATTTCAAAGAGAGGCCTGTAGGGTGTATCTGGACAGGGTTTCCCGTGGGAGGTAAAAGAACTGCCATCTTTCATCCATTCTCAGTAATAGCTTCCACCTTGGGTTCTGGATGGGTTCCATCAAAGTCTCAGCTGAAGTCAAGGGGGTGGTGGACAGAGAGAGAGAGAGAGAGAGAATACCCTTTCCGTGCAAGCGGAACGGAAGGGAGAGGGAAGCCCTTGCGTGCAGTCACCCAGGCCTGCACAACTTGTGACTCACCAAGGCAAACAGGGCTAACTGGCTACCTGGAGGCACTGTGGCTCAGTGGGTAGAGCAATCTGCTTTGCACACAGAAGGTTCCAGGTTCGATCTCCTGGTAAATAGATCTGGAAGACCTCTAGCCGAGACCCTGGAGAGCCACTTGCAGTCAGAGCAGACAATACTGATTTCCTTTCCAAAGCTGGATCTTATGTTCAGTTTAGGAAAATGGGGGTTGGGGGGGAGGTTGGAAAATCGATCCTACCCCCAAATCTCTGGCAGTTGTATCACTAATGAGCATATATGAATGCACAAAGCTGCCTTGTATGTTGAGTCATGCCAGGGGGTCTGTCTA